ATTAACATTAATTTATTATTATAAGCAATAAAATAATAATTAAAATTAATAAGAGTTAGAATTAAAAAAAAGTCAAAATAAGCTCTAAAACATTAATCCAAATAGCGTTTCAATAAGCTAGTTTATGTTTGCCAAACAATTCCTTAATTGGTACCAAGTTTTTCATTTGGTACATACAAGGGCGGAACCAAGATTTTTGTCTACGGTGATCCTTTTAAATATAAATATATGTAAATACACAAATAAAATATATAAATATATTATATTGATGGAAGTTATCAATCCAAAAATAAACATATACAACTACTTTATTATAAAAAAAAAGTGGTACACTTACAAAAAATCAACAAAGAATTCAATGGATTCATTTTCTGTAATTTAATCGTCGAGTTCTCGTTGATTTATAATGCATTAAACATCCATGATCCACCATCGATCATTTTCAAGAAATTAATATCTAGACATTTCTTTTTTTTTTACCCAATACATATAATAAAGTATTTTAAAACGACATACAAATTAATTACTTTTAATAAATGGATTCAAAACATTTAACTTAATATACATGCACAAAATCTCTCATGAAAGTTCCATAAATGATATTTATAGTAGAAAGGAATTGAAATTATCAATCAAGATAGAATTAGAAAATAGGAGATCTCAGAAGTTAGGGTTAGGAAACACTTACCCGGTAAGTACTTATCGGTAAAATTCAATACTATTGTTTACTTACTGGGTAAGATTTTAGTCAACAAAAACGGCTTTTTATACAACAATTTACCTCGTAAGAGCTGACCATGGTAAGAGTCATTGTCCTTACTTACCGGGTAAGACTCTCAGTCCTTGCCTCGTTCTTACTAGGTATGATTTTTTATTCTTACCATATTCATCCGGTAATGTAATATAACTTGGTAAACGCTTACCCAAGTAAGCATTTGGTAAACGACCCGTTACTGTAGTTAACTAAATATTAATTAACATTGCATATTTAGTATGGTAGAACTAATCAAATTAAATGAGCTCGTGAAAATAGTAACTCGTCTTTCTGCCCTGGTCCCGTGAAATAAGTAATTAGTTTAAAAAAGTCCAATGAAAATAGAATAGGTGTGAGCATCCATAGGCTTATCTGTACCAATTTAAAAGAAACGATTGATATCCATGTCGGCTTATTTTGTTCGGTACAAAATTGGCACCCTAATAGCCACAACCGGTTAATTGACCAAAAAAGACCAATAATTAGTTCTCAATCAATAACAAATACCGATCATCAAAAAACATAGATAATAGACCATCAAACTTTTATATAATTTCAAATCTTATCTTGTCATACTATATATTATATTTTTATTTATTTTATGTTCACGCTCTTTTTTTCAATATTTGTATACATGTGATTGATACAAAAAACACGATGTGGAAATGTGGCACTACTATAAAATTGGATTTATAAGATGCCAGAAATGTTTAAACATCTCAATGGATTACTTTATAGAATTTAAGTTTACAAGACAAAATGACAACATCTCATCTAAGAGTATTGCAATAAGTTTATATGACTTTTTTTAGAGTCTTACAAGTTTTTAAGTACACTTTTATAGTAAAACGTTATATTAGCTATTTTATAAGACACTATTTCAAAAAGTGTCTTATAAAAATAAGTGTCCTATAAAAAGATGCGTTTATAGAATATTTTTCAAAAAATGTCATATAAAATAGTTATTACGACTATTTATTCTATAAATGTCCTCAAAAGCTTGTTAAGATGCTAAAAAATGTGCCATAAACTTATTACCACACTTTTAGATAGAACATTTATTGTCTGATTCTATAAACTTAAAGATCTATAAAGCGATCGATGATGATGTTTATACATTGTTGACATCCTATAAACCCGATTTTATTTTAATGCTGAAAGAAGATTTTTATCCGCTACTCTATACTATATTATAAAACATTTGAATAAAACTCTTAAAAATTATTTTAATGCATCAAATACTGTTTAATGATACATATTACTTATAATTTAAGATTACAAGTAAATAGTGCATGTGTACAACATTTTAAACCTATATATTTGAATTCATATAACTAACTGATAAACATAATTTAATACATGATAAACATCTCATTTCAAATATAAAGAATCTAAAATATAATTAGGATATTTATTAAATTCTAACAAAATACTTAGTTATTATGTTTAAAAAAAAGTTATATTATTAAACATAAATTTAATTATAGTAAGAAGATTGAACTAAAATTATCTCTATAAAAACATTATATTATTAGACTTAAAATAAATTACTTTTTTATTAAACCTAAATTAAATTATCTTTAAAAAAAATTGAACTAAAAAATTATAGAAAAACGAGAACTTTTAGATTGTTAATTTGATACTAATACCGATATAAATTTTTATAAGTCTTCAAATTTATATTTTATTTAAATATAAAAACATTATTGTTTTCTCAAAATCATATAAAACCATATTGTGGAACGAAATATTAAAATCGAGATGTATCTTGCTACATTATTCGAGTATGTTTGTAGTTGATTATAAATGATTACAACTTATAAAGACATTACATATATACTATTAGGTATATTGATCAACAAACAAAATGACCTAGAAATGACCAATATATATTAATGAAAACCCATCGATACTTGCATGTGACTTTCAATTGTCACGTTCACTCTCGTCCAATCTTTCAAAAAAGACGTAAGCAACATTGAAGGCAACTAGGCAAGCTCAGGAACTTGCATATGAAGTTCTGAACTTACGAAGGAGGTAACCGAGCGTTGCTCCCCAGTATGCAAATTGCAACATATTGGGCGACTTATGAAACTCGTGAAGTATGCATCAAGAGTTGGTCTCTTGTACGCAACTTTCTGCACGAGATACCTATTAGAATACGATTCTATCAAACTCGGTTTGATTTTCAGATGAACAAAAAGAAAAGAGATTTTGTTCAATTTACAAAAGAATTGGAACCTGTACGTATGTCCCTGTAATAACCCAAATCAAGTACATTAAATGTTGGTCTATGTGAAGATAAAAGTGAACTAAATGTCATGGCTCCACATTTGGCTCACTCTAAGCGACTGATTCAACAAGCAAATAAATAGTTAATTAATGAGATAGATATATCACTCCTACTCCCCATTCAACCACTTGCATGCATGCATACATACATATATCTTATACATACATACATATATATTTCTTATATATATGAATATATATTTCAAGAGATAAACCATTCATTGAAACACAAGGCTAAAGCTTTTCGTCTTTACGCTCCTGAACCACATGGATCATCATCGATCTCTTGGAACCATTTATGTTTTCATTATAATTTCAATTATTTCGATGAACAATATGTTGTGCACTACATCGTGTCCTACTTTCTACAATACCACATGTCCTAATGCACTCAAGACCATTAGAACCACCATTAGGACCGCGGTTTCACGTGAACGTCGCATGGCAGCCCTTCTCATTCGTCTTCATTTTCATGATTGTTTTGTCCAGGTATATAATACTATTGTGCTTGTATTCTTGTTCAAGCACATGAGTTCTTATAAAAACCCGTATCTAGACAAAAAATCTGCATTCCGCTCTAATCATGTTTCATGCTTCTATATATTTGCAGGGTTGTGATGCATCCATTTTACTAAACGACACAACCCCAAATGAAAGGGGAACACTTTCCAATAGCGGGGTCGGAGGCTATGAAGTTATTGATGCTGCAAAAGCTGCGGTGGAGAGGATATGTCCCGGTGTTGTTTCGTGTGCCGATATACTTGCTGTTGCAGCACGTGATGCTTCTGTTGCGGTACGTATAATTAATGTGATTAGACTTTAATCTACATTCATTTTGTTAACCGTAGGTATCCAAGCTAGCTAATGTATGAAGAACAATCACGAAAATTTCTAGTGGTGATGAATTTAATTTACATTTTTGTAGTAATCTAACATGGAAATATGCAGGTGGGTGGTCCATCATGGAAATTAAGGCTTGGCAGAAGAGATTCTACTACTACAAACCCAACTGAAGCCGACAGAGATCTTCCTAGAGGCGATCAGGATCTAGACTCGCTCATTAGAAATTTTGCTAACAAGGGTCTAAACGAAAGAGAGATGGTTGCGTTGTCCGGTTAGAATTCATACCCTAGCTGTTGTCACTAAATCTCATTTTATAGAACGTCAAATATGTCTGAATATCATAATAGACTGCTTTATATGCCTTGAGTTTATAAAACGAAACAATTATACGTCTTATGTAAAAGTGTTACAATAAGTTATCATGACGTTTTTGGATGTCTTAACAAGTTCTAAAAAGCTTTTGGAATCACTTGTCTTTTTGGTTTTTTTCTATGACATTATTAGGAAAAAAGAAGTCTTTGTAAAAAGTATGCACAAATTTTTTAACATATAAAACATTTTATTTATGACATTTAGACATATTTTGCATCCTATAAAGTCAATTTTGTTAAAATACGTAACTCATAAATGATATTTTTGTGTGCAGGGTCTCACACTATAGGGCAAGCACGGTGTGTTACATTTAGAGGCAGGATATATAGCAATACGACAAACCTAGATCCCGGTTTTGGTAGCACCCGTAGACGTAACTGTCCACCGGCTGCACCCGAAGGTAACACAAACTTGGCACCACTTGATTTGGTGACACCAAATTCATTTGACAACAACTACTTCAGGAATCTATTACGAAGGAGGGGTCTTCTTATATCAGACCAGGTACTCTTTTTTTTTTTTTATAAAGTACATAACGACGAAATACTCACACACATTCTTCATTTTAATTTGATTGGATTTGAACCCTTGACCAGGTACTTTTTAACGGAGGCTCAAGCGACAACATTGTACTAGAGTACGTCAACAATCCTTCAAGATTTAGATCTGATTTTGCTGCAGCCATGATTAAGATGGGAAACATTGAGCTTCTTACTGGGAATAATGGGGTGATAAGAACCGTATGTGGTGCTTCCAATTAACCTTAACTATATGTCAGGTTTAAACGAGAAAGTAGTCAATTTACAATAAGGCGAGAAGTTTCAAGATCACACATGATTACATGTGATACAAACACGTAAGCACATATAATACAACACATGCTGCTTATATATTATTATATGTTTGTATAACATATAATCAATATATGATCTTGAAACTTCTCGTCTTCTCATAAATTGATCAATTTCTCGCATGATATCCTTCACATGTGTTTCTTGGAGCACCTATTGTGTTATTAAAATAAGTTTTCTCATTAAGTGGGAGGAAAATTGTGAATCATGATTGATTAAAATGTGTTTCATTTTCATTTGGTTTCATGTAATATGTAAAAATTTGTTGTCTTAAAATCACTCAGCTCCATCCTTGTACATCCAACTAATAAGATTAAAACACATCAGATATTTATATTTTTTTAATTTATATTATTAAAGTTGACTCTCTCTCTTTATGTGTATTTAACAATGTTCTAAAAAACACGTCTTGCCTTGCTGCCACGTTAACTCCCTTGATGTGGATACAAGGCATGGAGCTCATCATGGCTCATCATGGCCCACCATGGTGTGTTATGGCATTATAAGGTGTAACACCCTAACAATTTATGATTCATAAAATAAATAAATGTTAAGGGTTAAAATTTAAATAGTAACGACATAGGGGATTAAAGTGTCGATACTCGAAAAATATGATTTTATTGCAATAAATAAAATCAATAAAAAGGGAAATGAAACATTTTGWATTTAATTGATTTGGGATGAAAATACAGAAAGAAAAACAAAAGGGACTAGTTCTGCCAAAAGTATAAAACTAATTTGGAAATGATTGAAATTTGGGAAATCATTCCCTAAATTCACATTTTTCCTATTCTAGAGACCATTTGACGATCTATAAATTAGAGTTTTCGGCTGAAATTTTGTGGAGACGTTCCTAAGGGTGTAATTTTGTGGAGACGTTCCTAGTAAACGTCTTTGGAATTTCGAGATTTCATCAAGAAACGAGAGAGATATCGAGTTTGAAGCGGCACAGGGTCATTCCATACAAAAACGACAATTAGAGGTAAAATACTCAACCAAAATTGATGTATGATATATGGTTGGTTTCGTTTTTCAATTATCTTTTTGTTGGTACAAGTCTCGTGGGCTATGGTGGCTTGTACGTCGAGTGGTTTAGGCTAGAAGCTGCTGTGGCGGCGGCTCGACGAGATTCGGGTACAAAAACTCAAAATACGAGTTTAATATTGAACTATAGGGGCTGTAAATTTGGATACGATTTGGGATTAATATTGTATATAAGTTTTTGTTAAAAAGAAATTTGAGGCTCGTTTATTTACTTGGATTAATCGAAATAAACCTGGATGTTTCGATTAAGTTGGTCAAGATTTGGACATCAATAGTAAAAGTTATTAATTAATTGGAGTTTCATATTTAAATTATAAGAAATAATTTAAGAACTTATTTCGGGAGTTGCGACTAGATAATTGTGGGATCAGACGTTTTTATAACGAAAATCGTATATAATTAAATGTTGGGTTTAATACTTCGTAATTTATTTTGGATGTGAAAATAATTCCATTGGGAAGGGGGGTATATGGCGACGAGGTATGCTTGGGGTTGACCCGTTGACCATTCTTACCCCAAGGTTGACCTATTTGACTTTTGGGTTGACTTTTTGGGGAAATGTCAATACTCTAATTATTGAAATATAATTACATGTTATAGGATATTACTCAGGGACGAGGTTTAACTGGGATGCATGCTTATGTACAAATTATTTGAGCATTACGATATATTTTTTTATGTACATGTTTAATTATGGGTTTATTACATGTATATGAATTATTATTGTGGGTTGCATGCTATTTGTTTACATGTTTTCTTTTAAAAACATCAATTAGTGTAACACCCTAAAAATTTATGATTCGTAAAATAAATAAATGTTTAAGGGTTAAAATTTAAATAGTACGACATACGGGATTAAAGTGTCGATACTCGAAAAATATGATTTTATTGCAATAAATAAAATCAATAAAAAGGGAAATGAAACATTTTGTATTTAATTGATTTGGGATGAAAATGCAGAAAGAAAAACAAAAGGGACTAGTTCTGTCAAAAGTAGAAAATTAATTTGGAAGTGATGAGATTTGGGAAATCATTTCCCAAAATCACGTTTTTCTTGTTTTAGAGATTGTTAACGGCTTATAAATTGGAGTTTTTGGCTGAAATTTTGTGGAGACGTTCCTAAGGATGTAAGAGAGTAAACKTCTTTGGAATTTCGAGATTTCATCAAGAAACGAGAGAGATATCGAGTTTGAAGCGGCATAGGGTCATTCCGCACAAAACGGGTKATTGGAGGTAAAATACTCAACCAAAATTGATGTATAATATATGGTTGGCTTCGTTTTTCAATTACCTTTCTGTTGGTACAAGTCTCGTGGGCTATGGTGACTTGTACGTCGAGCGGTTTAGGCTAGAAGCTGCTGTGGCGACGGCTCGACGAGATTCGGGTACAAAAACTCAAAATACGAGTTTAATATTGAACCGTAGGGGCTGTAAATTTGGATACAAGTTGGGATTATTATTATGTATAAGATTTTGTAAAAATTTTGGTGAAAAACGATTGGAAAAATATCTCAAACGAAAATCGTTCACGATAGCCGCACCAAGGGTGCGACCGGGTTGGGCCAGGCGTCGAGTTGAGTCCGCCGACACTAGACTAGGTTTAGACCATGGCCGACTTATTTCGGTCGAGTTCGGTTAGACTCGAGTTGTTTTGTTAAAATCGGTATTTGTAAAAAATAGATTTGGGGCTCGTTTATTTACTTGGATTCATCGAAATAAATCGGGATATTTCGATTAAGTTAGTCAAGATTTGGACATCAATTGTAAAGGTTATTAATTAATTGGATTTCCATATTTAAATTATAAGAAATAATTTAGTAACTTATTTCGGGAGTTATGACTAGATAATTGTGGGATCAGACGTTTTTATAAGGAGAATCGTAAATAATTAAATGTTGGGTTTAATACGTCGTAATTTATTTCGGATGTGAAAAGAATTTCATTAGGGAGGGGGTATATGGCGACGAGGTATGCTTGGGGTTGACCCGTTGACCATTCTTACCCCGAAAGTTGACCTATTTGACTTTCGGGTTGACTTTTTTGGAGAAATGTCAATATTCTAATTATTGAAATATAATTACATGTTATAGGATGTTATTCAGGGACGAGGTTTAGCCAAACAGAGCTATTCAGGTGAGTTTTCATGAGACTTTAACTGGGATGCATGCTTATGTACAAATTATTTGAGCATTACGATATTTTCTATGTACATGTTTATGGGTTTATTACATGTATATGAATTATTATCGTGGGTTGCATGTTATTTGTTTACGTGTTTTTAAACATTAATTAGCATGTTATAAACGGGTTAATATTTTTGTCGGGTATGGGAAGGGTCAAAAGTCATAAGGGATGGCACATCCTAGGGAGGGGTAACCGGACAAGGGATAGCCGTGTAACCCGGGAAGTGCCGATGACGGTAAGACCTTAACCCGGCGGGAAATTAAGAGATCTCATTATTATTTCAAAAGGGTTTGAAACAAATGTGCATATTATTTTATTTGGGGCATTGTTTGTTTTATGCATGATGAGGTGTGTATGATTGTGCACAAAAACCATGAAATCACCGAGCTTTGTAAAGCTGACTATTAGTATGCATCTCAGGTGCAAGAGGTTCAAGGGTGGACAAGAGCGAGGTTCTCTTCTAGATAATTATATTATTATATTTCGGATGTTTAGGTTTATGCTTAAACTCATTTTGTAATGTAACCCGGTATGGGACGGGTTAGCGTTGAGCTATTAATTTTAATAGAATTTGTAAGACTTCCGCTGTAATAAGGCTTTATCAGCCACTATATTTTGGGGTTATTTATTGTTATTTAATGAGAATGACGTGACACAACTCATGGTGAAAATGAGGGTGTTACAAGTTGGTATCAGAGCCTTAGTTTAAGAGAATTAGGTTAGTGATAGCCTAAGCTTAAACTGGGAGGGTATTAAGGGGATGCAAATTGGATGAGCTAGGTTACTATTAGCCTAGACTTGAATTTAGTGAAGGGTATATAGGATATGTGACAACCCAAGCTTGAATCATGGGATTAAAAATATGAATGCGACATAAGATTCATATTGGAGTAATTTGCTATTATAAAAACTCATGATCGAATTATTGGTGATGTATTGTATTTCCTTTTTAGAAAATGGGATGAGAATGGATGGTCCATGTAAGGTATGGTCARATAGGGGATTATCTCATGGGCTAGTGAATATTCAAATGACTATAAATTAAGTTAGTTGAAGTGGTGCTCAACATATATCGTTATAGATATGGGAAACTTGAGGTTAGAAAATGAAGCACTTGTAAGGTTGATAGGAAACATATGACAAACATTTATAACTATAATGGTGCTCTTGGGGATAGACGTAAATGATTTAGAAATGAACATGAGGCCAATGTCAGTTAGGGTATATAAAAAAAAAAGGTTATGACTCTTAGAGACAAGATTTGATAGGATGTTCAATATGATTAAATATACATGGGGAATTCATATGAGATGAAAAAGAGACTTACATGATAGGAAAGAGTCATATACTATATGTGATGGGTATGGAGTTTGTGATTAGGCCACCCATCTAATTGGTCATTATAAGAGGGGTATGTGTAATCACTCTTAGACCTTTGGGCGTGAGACTATGGAACGTATAGGAGTTCCATAGAGACACAATTAGAGAGTACTATGATTGGGGAACATGGTACTAGAGATATTTGATGGAATGGTATCAGGAATGGCCTCAAACTCGTCAGACTGTGTGTCTATGTCCATATTATATAAGGACTAATTAAACGTTTTATATTTTCATAAAGGGAAGTGATGATGAGATAAGAGTGGAGAAGATATAATGAGTTAACAATGGAATAAATCATAATTAATTCTTATGATTATTAATACTTAAAGTAAGTTATATATCTATAAACTTACTAATAAAATTTCAGTATGAATTATGATGATTGATCAAGATAGCTCTGGAGATCTAAGGGGACACATATTTAGCAATGTTGTTTAATGCAACGATAGATTACAGTCAAGCCCATGACTGGGGAAAGGTCAATACAAATGTATTAATGTAGCTTAGCCTGTGTGATTGTTTTGCAGCGACTGGTAGAAGTTGTGGTTGGTCTCATGATGTGGACCAATGTGATACAGCAATATCAAGGGGATGTTAAAAATTTGAAGTTAAGGGAAATCCAATTGTCGGGTAAGTTGGACCACGAAAATGGGTAATGGTTCCAAAAGCGACATGGAGCA